AATATGTCTCCATAGATACTCCCAATCAACCACTTCTAAGAAGCAAGGAGCTTAGAGGTTAGACTTACAATACTTCCGGGCACTTTTGGCAATTTTATGAATACACTGAGACTGGAGAGTTGTAAAATGTTGAAAGAAAAGGATGAGCTCAGGGATCCAATTTTCAGCTCAACAGCTGCATACACAATCTAAACGCTTCTGTGTGTCCTAAAGCGTTCCTTATCTTCTGTAGTTGCAGAGATGACGTTGCTGAAAATGAAATATAGAATCTCCTCCTCCCATCAGCTGAGTTACAGCTCACTGCTCTCCAACCCTACAGAGTATCTTCTAATAAAGTAAAGACATTGATCCATGAAGAAGGAATCTTACAAGTTCAGACAAGCCTGTGTAGTGAGACTCCATGAAACTGTGGACCCCGAGCCCCTGAATTGGATGAGACTTCTTTACCAGTGGAAACAGCCGCTGCTTTCCCATCTGAGATATGCATTGCCCGAGGAAATGTAATTGCCTCTCCCGAGACAGCTGCCTCAGGAGACACTGCTGATTCCCCTGGGGGCCCACCCTATCCCTCCTCTCAATACTACCAGGTAACTAACCTGGAGTCCTGGCACGTGAGGAAATGTGCCACATTCCAAACAGAACTGTGCACACAAATTCAGGGCCTGTGTGTGGGAATGGTATTTGAATAACAGTGGGAGATAAATCAAGCTGGGTCAGGGCAACTGTACTGGCACGGACCGCCTAACCTGAGGTTCTGGATTGAACACTGCAGCTCGGGCAGTTAGACAAGGCTCTAATAGTTTGCCTGGGTAACTGATACATGGTCCCACAGTGAGCTCATTACAAATGCTGGATAGGCCTTGGTTTAATCTAGGGGAAGAGAGGAAAAGGCGGGGGAGATTGGCATGATTCAGAGGCTTCGTCATTTAAGGCCCATTCACCCACACTGGGAGAGTCCGGCAAACACCTTGCACCAATACGGTGAGAAATTTATGAGCCCAGAGCTCTCCTCTGTAACTTGGACCTTACAGCAGTCGCTAGGTTGGGAAACCCAAGTCAAGTGGAAGTAATTGGCTCTCAGGGCGTCAGGGGTGAGGTGGTGGCAGCTGACAAGGGCAAGGTGTGGCATGGTCATGATAATGGAGACCAGAGTCATAGCAGCAATCAGAGCTGTCTGACTCATAAGGACCAGTGGCACTGGCTAGTCCATCACAGCGTCCCTAAGTAATAAGATAAGATGCCTGCTAGATTGCTTCATTGGTATCAGCAGGGAAGTCCTGTCCACTGAGAACGTCTTCCTGTGTGACAAGTACTCACACACTTCCTTTCAGTGCCTAAGCTCAGCAGAAGAATGAGAGCTCAGAGCTACGGCAGGGAGCAGAGAGGCGTCACAGATGTCTCTCCCTCAGCCGGAGCCCTGCCTCATCAGCTACCTGAAAACAGACCTGATGCTTGCACTTGCCCATGTGTGGGCAGCAGAGACAGGCCAGTAGGGACTATTTGCCTCCACCTTCTGCCAGCTCGAGGGTGACAAGCTCCTGGTGAGACAGTCACTCACAATCTCCACTCTAGTCCTGAGCAGACTGCTGGCTGAGGCATGGCGCTTTCCCTGACACTCTCTTCCTGAGCTGGTCGGTCATCTGTGACAGGGAGGGCCACCAGGCAGGGACATTGTTCTGAGCCCTCCTGCGGGGCCAGCAACTCCTCTTCTTCTGCTTTTTCCAAGGGACAAGGCAAGAGGACAGGTACATGTGGAGGGAATGGCAAAGGTGGGAACCTTCTTGCTCTTGATCTTTAGGAAGTTCTTTCCTCCTAAAACCAAACACTTACCCGTCCTGGACACAGAGGCCCGTTGGAAGCCTTTGTGGAACCGCAACTTGTGCCACCGTGTTAGGTTTCTTCCTGCTCAGAGGCCTGGTGGAAACCTAAGCAGGCATGGTGGCTCATCCCAGCATGATGCCGGAATGAGTGACATAGCCTTGGCCTGGTTGTTGATGCTGCTGCAAGTGGTGGCCCCCATGGGACACAAGAACACCCTATGAACCCACATTTCTGACTTCCTGCTGCTCCTGGTGTTTACCCTTGAGGTCTAAGATGCCCACCAGTCCCACTCTGAGTGCTCAAGTCTTGGCTGTTGCTTCTATTTGGCTCCCGGATGCTGCAGGTGCCCCTGGTGTTATATGCCCTACTCTCTGGCAGCCCTGGCAGACAGACACTCCCTGCCCCCTGGTCTTCCTCACACCTCCTCTTGTTGGCACCTGGGCTAACACTTCCGCAGCCTCCAGCATTGCGATTGTTCATCCTGCATGGCATTTCCAGGGGCCAGCATGGTCCTAGCTGTAAAGAGCTCTAGAAGTTAAGGGCAGAGGCCAAGCTGCAGGATGGATATGTTTAACTTGAGGACTGTCCTGTCCCCAGTTTTGCTCTGTCTGGATGCTGTAATATACCTTGTAAGGATGCCCACTGGGTGACACTGTAGTCTCTTTGGCTAGGCAGTGTGGCTGTTCACCTTGAGAGCAATATTCCTTGTTCCCAAATAAACCTACCAGCTCCAGGGTTGGCTCTTCATGCTGTCGATCTACCAGATTTTTATCTATCTGTCTTACTGTAAGATATGGTCTCCTGACCTCTCTAAAGGCAATCCATGTCCTTTCCCCTGGCCACTTCAGAATTCCAGGAAAGAACTCTGGAATTAGTTGGACAAAATGAGACTAGAGTTGGGTGTGGTAGAGCATGCCTGTAATCCCAGCACTCGGGAGGCTGAGGCAGGAGGATTGCTGTGAGTTCAAGACCAGCCTGGGCTACAAAGTGAGGTCAAAGCCAGCCAGAACTGTATACAGACCCTGTCTCAAAAAGAAATTGAAAAACAAAGATAAGACTAGATTAGGTAGACAGACAAGGGTTTCTAGCTCCGCTCCATACTGGTATTTGGTAGGAAAAGTTTCCCTTCCTTATGGCTCTTGAAACATAGACTGGCTGTCCCAAAAACTTTGAATAAAACTATGTTTTAAAAAGCAAGTCATTAATAAACACAAAATTTAGGAAGATGGACCCCCAAGGGATGGGGCAGGGGGAAGAGAGGCGACAGAATGGAAAATGGTGGTTGCACAGAGATTTGTGAGGTCACTGCAGATGGTTTAGCTCTGAAAACCAATGCAATGGGCCACTTGAGTTTACAGCTGGACGTGATGTCCAGAGGTGACGCCCGTGTGACGAGGTGGGTCACCGGGGCGGCAGCAGGTGCATAGGTATATAAATAGGTAAATAAAAGGACAACCATGGACAATGATGAGAGTTTTGTTTGGAACCAAGCTCATAATTGTTCTTCTGCAGACCCAAGGGAGGCAGGAAAGGCAGTGTAGGCTCGTGCTAAAGCTGCAGCCTGCAAAGTGAAAGGGAGGTCCAAGGACAGGGGCTTAGGTCCGTGCTCTTTTGACCGTGAGGATTTCTGGTGGCTTCATTTACCAACCTTTTCAATGTAATCTGTGCATGTAGTTTTGAGGGGAAATCATGAAAAGATCCAAATCAGAGCTGATGAGAGCAGAGGAGGAAGGATCACCAAGAAATGTGACCGTTTGGAACCCAGGAGGCAGGAACTGAGCGACTGCTGGTCACGAAGTCACAGAAAGTTTCAAAAAGCCTTTGAACTTCCGCAGAATGAGGTGAAGAGACGCAAGTGAACTCAGCTGAAAGGGCACTAAGTAAACAGCGGAGATCCCAATTTACAATGCTTGATTAGAGCCAGGCGGGCGTGGTGGTGGACACCTACTCCTAGCACTGGGGAGGCTGAGGCAGGAGGATCGCCGTGAGTTCAAGGCCAGCCTGCGCTACATAAACAAATTCAAGGCCAGCTTAAATTGCAAAGTGAGACCCTATGTCAAAAAAAAAAATGGAATGCCTCAGTTACAATAGCTCGACCTGCCCATGAGCTGGTGTGAAAGCCATACAGAGTCCGTGAAAACCACACTTGGGATTTTGAATTTTGATCTTTTCCCAGTTGGGCAATATGTGGTGTAATAGTCTCTGGTGAAACAGAGGTGCCTGGCTCTGAGGTGGCACCGGGCCAAAGGACCTGGCAGAGGAGAAACAGCTCAGAGAGTGGCACCAGGAAGCAGAGAGGTCAGGGGGAGGGAGGAAAATAAACGCTTCCAGGCCACGCCCCCAGTGAGCCACCTCCTCCAACCAGGCTTCTTCACCTCCCAACATAGAGACCAATCACTGATGGGCATCACGCCCCGCGACCCAATCGCCTGCCCAGCACCTCTGAACGCAGCAGCTCTGCTGGGGACAAGGAGCTAGACGCCACGAGTCACCTGGAGAACGGCGTTGGCGCCTGGGACACGCCCTGCGCACTATGTGAGCTCAGGGCATGGTGGAGTGAAGCGGCAGCGACCGTTTCTCATCTGCCTGATTTCGCTGTCTTGGAACCAGCAGACTATGAGCTGAAACTTGTGCAGCCTGGGCTAAATAACTTCTATCCCAACGGCAAGAAAATAAAAAGAATACTTCCTTTCACTTTTTAGGTAGAAACAAAGTGAGACGTGGTTCAGCAAAGAGACCTTGAATGAAATGTTGTAACACTATAAAGCTATGTTTCCAAACACAATTACAAATAGGTGTCCCCAGGGTGAGTTCCCAGCCAAAGCATTCTGCTCTTTGCGAGACCTGTACAGTCATGTGTCTAATGGTGTCTCATGCGGCCTGGTCGCCACATCACGGAGAAGCAAGCTCCAGATGAAGGAGGACAAAAGATGCCTCAACTGGGGCTGGGGATTTAGCTCAGCGGAATAAGCACCTGCCTTGCAAGCTGGCGGTCGTGAGTTCGATCCCTGGTACCGATAAAAAGAGAAGAAAAAAAAAAAGATATATATACAAAAAAAGATGCCTCAACTGCTGGGCCCAGACAGGCCCCAGTTCATCCTCCTGGGGGGAGGGGACGGGGGGCCTGCCCAGGGCCTCCCTCTGACCTGCACCGGCTGCAGACCTCTAAACCAGACAGGCTCGGGAACGGAGGGGCCAGCACATCTGTGCACCCGCAGATCTGACAGCAGAAGAGAGAGACCCTGGCGCAGGGCGGCCCCGTGGGCCTCCTGGGTGCAGAGTTGCGCAGCGTCCTGTCCACCCCAGCTGCCTGGGACACACAGCGGCTGTGGAGGGGGAATCTCTCTCCGCACATCTGCGCTCTGGCCGGGCAGGTCCCTGGCCACGCAGACAAACACTGCCTCTCACACCAGCCGGTTTGTCATATGTTTCTGAGACTCACAAGAATGCGCCGTCTCCCTTTCTCCTTTGCAGACATTATCGTTGAAATGTCTCTCCGTTGTGTCATCTCCACAGAGGGAAAAATATTTATGCTTTTTTTCGGATCACAACAGCAATAAAGGTCCGTTAGATAAACAGCTGGAAGCTCAGAACGCATTAAGAGCGGAATGGAAATTGCTCACGAGCTGGCAGCTCCAGAGCTCTTGGGGGGCTCCAGGGCGGCTCCAGGCAGGGTGGCAGCACGGCAGAGCTCGTGTTCCTGCACCCCCAAAGAGGCAGCAGCAGACAGAGACGAGAGCAACCCCCTCAGTGCCCTGATGCGCGGTTGTGAACACCATGAAGAATAAACAGGGAGGCGGCTGGAGGACGTTCCTTGGTGGTTTTTTTGGTTCTTGGTGGTGTGGTGTTTTGCTCCAGTTTTTGAGCCAGGGTTTCACTATGTAGCCCAAGCAGACCTCAAACTTGCAGCAACCCTCCTGCCTCAGTCTCCCGAGTGCTGGGACTACAGGTGTGCACCACCATGCCCAGCTTCGTTTTTTTCATATGAAGGGTCAGATGATGTACTAGAAGAAAATACGATAAACTTTTGGATGGTTTTGCTTTCAATCTTTAAACTACATGTTAACATATGTATTACCAGTAGCAAGTTCTCTGATAAAACTTTTTTTCTGGGCCAGGGATTTAGCTCAGTGGCATAAGTGCATGTCTGGCAAGTGGGAGGTAGTAAGTTCGAACCCCAGTACCGCAAAAAAACACTTGGTTTTAAACAAACTAAACATGTTTATCTTAGAAAAGTAATATTGTTTGTTATGTAGAAAACCTAAACTATTATAGAAAGCCCACAGGGAAGAGTAGAAAGCAGGCAAATCTCCTACAGTACTACCACAGGATAATTCTTCTGGGTATGTTGGCACATTTCCCACCTATGTTAATTGCTATCCTCAGATGGACTGGGTGTGTAATCCCAGCACTTGGGAGGCTGAAGCAAGAGAATCACTACAAGTTCAAGGCCAGCCTCGGCTACAAGATGAGTTCAAGGCCAATCTGAACTACAGAATGAGACCCTGTCTCAAAAAGTTCAGTGATTAAAAAAATAATGATAAATTCATACGGGTCCTGCCATTTTACTCTTGAACTTCTATCCTAAACACTATCCCAAAGGGCCATCCACCTGTCACAGAGAGAGGCAGGGACAAGTGATTAGTCCTAGGTATCCAGAGTAGAGCCCAAGCAGATGGGCCACTTTGTGTCACGGCCAAAAGGAGTGGAAGCTGCTTCCTGAGGCAGGGGAACCTATGTCAGAGGCAGAGGTGAGGGCCAGTCCTTGTAGGAAGCAAGGAGAAAGAGGAAGGCAGCACCAGCAGCAGGAATGTTTGTCCCCAGAGCTGAGCCGACGGCCCCCAGCCTAAGGGTTTGAGGCAGCCCCTGCTCTTTCCCTAAAATCTCTACAGGAGAAATGGCACAGCATAGAGAGCCTCGAGGCCTGGGGAGCCCGTCCTAGGGCCCAAACGCTGACGACACCCTTCACTCCCACACCAGCCTGGCTGCCCACCCCTCGGCATTTTCCCTGGCCCACGACCCCTCCTTTCATCTATGTGGTCTGCTACTGAGCACAATCTGCTCCTCGGAAACCCTGCTTCTTACTAGCTGTGTGTCAGGAAGCAAATGACTTAACCTTTCTGACCCTAATTTTCTCCTTGGGAAAGGAAAAGGAATTAAAATGTGCATGAGAAATGCATGAGGCTCCAAGAGGCAAACTCTACGTAAAGAGCCCAGTGTGTAATAAGGGCTCAGAAATGGTAGCCAGTGTTGCCTGTGCTACTTTGTGGCCCAGAGTGCTGTGGATTGGCCAAAGCAAGCAGAATTTTCCCTGCCTACACAGTGTTCGGCTCAAGACAGAGGTCACAGATTCATGCTCCTTCTGACCACCAGGTACCATAAATGAGAGACGACAGGGTGGTGGGAATTAGGCTGATCCTGTAGGATGGCAAGTCTTAAGTTCGGATCTCGCCATTTTTCTCTCCACAGGGAAGTTACAGATTAGAATTTGTATGTGAAATGATTGGATTTTTTTAAATGGCACTTATTCTTTTTGGGGAAAAAATGCAGAGAAAACCAGTGTGCGGTGCTTTCCAGGGTGGGCCAGTGCACTGAGGACCCCTGTGAATAAAAAGATTTTAAGTAGAGAGGGCGAAGGGTCTCTGTGGGAGAACCCCGTATGGGGTCACAGAAGGGGACAGTGGAGTTTGGAACTTGGTGTTGAAGGTGTGAGCTCAGCAGTAGGTGAGAGAGAAGAGCTGGCTCATAGGAGATGAGAGGCCTTGGGATGGACGGGACAGGACAGGATAGGACAGGACAGGAAGCCAGCAAGGGGCTGCCATCTGGCCAGGACATAGGAAGGGCTGAGCTGGCAGAGAAAGATGTGCAACACAGGTACTAGGATCTTCAGTGGGAAGGACGGCAACCCAACAACAGCCTCAGAAGTGCTGGAAACTGGGCGACAGGCAGCGAGCCCTGCCGAGGGTGAGTGGGGCTCCAGGAGCACCTCCAAGGGGAGTCTGGCATTCCCGGAAGAACAGCTGTGCAAAAGGCTTAGCTCCAGGCCTCGTGGGCACAGATGCCCAGGAAATATCTGACCGGGTGGTTTCCTGATTTCTCTAGTAGTGATTAGCAGGGGAATGTTGTAAGCCAGGGATGACAGGTGAGCAAAATCTGGGAGTTCTTCCCTGAGAGAGAGCTGAGAGGCCAGAGGAGGAGCCAGGTGAATCAGGCGGTGCTGGCCAGCAACCCAGCAAGGGCTGTCACCCTCTGAGGGCCGGACCTGGGTGGGCAGGGAGCTTGCTGAACTCCAGCAAGGAAGTAGGATGGTGAACAGAGAGTGCCAGGAAGAGATGGGTGCTAAAGCCACCGGGTCACAAGCACCCAACTGGAAATGAAAGAACCTAGCGAAGCTGGCCCTCTGCAGAAGGAGTAGCATGCAGGTGCTTTTGAAGAGGGAAATCCTGGTGGTGCAGTGGGGTGCAACCTTGTAATCCCAGCTGCTCAGGAGGCTGGGGCAGGAGGATCGCAAGTTTGTGACCAGACTGTTCAACTTAGTGAAACCCTGTATCAAAAAAGAAAAACGCTGGAGTGTAGATCATTGCTAAAGTGTTTGCCTAGCAAGCAGGAGGTCCTGAATTCAATCCCCAGTACAAGAAAAAAATCCCAAGGCATGACAACGCCATCAGGCCCCGACAGGGGAGGGGGGCCCTCAAAAAGCATTAAGCAAGGAAACAACCATCTGAGCCCACACTTTCCTCATCTACCTGTGCACCAAGCACTCTTCAAAGATCTTCATAAAATTACAAATACATTTAACTCATTTAATCCTCCTACCAGCCTTATAAAGTAGGTCCACAATCCTTACTCGCAGTCGACAATCCAAAACTCTGCAAATCTAAAGATTTTTATAACTTGCTTGGCAGCAGCATTGGAGCTGAACTGACATGCAGCTATTTCTAGCTTTGTTTAGCTCCCACGTCCTGTGAATATTCATATGTTTTACTGCAGAAATACTGTTTGATTACAGGATATTGCCTCAGATCTCTCAGGGAATGTTAACAGATGTATGATACACACAAATGGCTGCCTTTTATGAAAGCTAATATCTCCCAGTTCTAAAACACAGAGTCCCAATCTCTTGTCAATGCCAGCCCCACCCTTATAACCCATTCATCCTAATTATCTCCCAATTAGCCCCATTTTGTAGATGAGGAAACTGATCAAGAAGTAATGCCCCAAAGCTTACGCAGGTCCTAAGGAAGAGAGCTCAAATATGAGCTCAGACATGCCAGTGCCAGAGTCCACACTACAGGAGGTCTGAGTTGTTCTCTGTTTAAGAAACATGTTTGTACTTACTGCTAGCACAAAAACTGGAGGAAGTCAAGGCAGTCAACCAGATATAGGGTGACGATACAGAAGAAAGGAGCGGAGACTGAAGAGAGATTTAAAAGGGAAATCAGCAGAGACAGCTGGGAGCACTGAGGGTCCTGGGAAGGCAAGTTATGCAAGGCACCCAGGATTTCTGGATTCATCCCTGGGGAAGACCAAATAAAAGAGGGAAACAGAGGAGAGGGGTGATGGGCAAGAAGATAATGAAGTCACGATTCCATGTCTGGAGTTTAAATTGAGGTGTCAGATAGGTGGATAGACAGCTCGGGCTGGTGAAAAGGGGCCTTGGGACCAAGACAAGAGTTGAAAAGCGTTCCACCCAAGTGGTCGTGAAGACATGACCATGGTTAGAAGGCCAAAGAGTCACTGATATTGGTGTTAAGAAGTAGAAAATAAGATAGTTCAAGAGATTAAAAAAGAGAAGGCAGACAGGTAGAAAGCCATGAAAGAACGTGTCTTGGAGAAAAAAGACAAGGCCAGTGACGTTAGATGTTCCTTCCTGCTCTCTTCCCCACGTGGGAGGTGAATGCTGGGTTGACTATCTTTTCCAAGGAACAGGGAGGACCTGGCCCTCGCCTCCTCCAGCCCCAAAGGAATCTGAAGAGCCCAAGGCCAGCAACAAAGAGCAGCAGAAGAACCAAAAAGATGGCCAGGAGGAGGGGCTGGAGCAGCAGGGGAGGTGGGCCGTGTCCAGGGTGTCACGGGAGCCGAGCTGTGGCCTTTGGGTGACAGCTTTTAGGAAGTCCAGGCTGAGCCTCCGTGGGCAGTAAATTGGAGCCCTACCTCTGTCTGACTGTCTGGATGACTCAGTGTCTAACCTCTTGGTTCAGGGTCTCCATCTAACAATCAAAATAGTAACGTCTATGTGGTAGGCTTGCTGTGGCTCCATTACGTCTACTGCTTTGCTCCATTTTCTATGCTGTAACTGAATACCACAGACTGGGAACTGCATAAAGGACAAAGGTTTCTTTTACTCATAGCTCTGGAAGCTGGGAAGCCCAAGAACATGGTCCTGGCATCTGCTTGGCCTCTAGTGAGGACCTTATTTCTACCTTGTAAAATGGCAGAGGGCATCACACAGTGAAATGGAACAAGTCGCTAGCTTGGATCATTCTTCTTTTCATGAAAACATTGGTGTCATCATGCCAGCCTCACCCTTATAACCCAACCCATTCATCCTAATTATCTCCCAAAGGCCCCACCCCCAAAGACCATTCCCAGAGGATTTGGGGGATTATGTTTCCAACGCATGAAGTTTGGGGGAACACACTCAAACCATAGCATTTACCGAGCATCATACCTGGGTTAGAGGTGAGGCTCAAAAATTTGTTTGCACAATTACTTGTACTGGTACTCCAAATTATCATTGTTATTCACCAGGTAGAAGAGGGCAGGGTGAGGACTTTCCTGGCACAAAGAACACCATGCACCAAGCCTGGGCAGGGCAAGGTGTGTTCAGGTAGCAGAACTGTGTGCAGGGTCACAAAGGATTCAGGGAGGGGTTGTGGGGCGTGTAAGGAGGAGGGAAGATAAGGTCCAGCAGCCTCTGCCATTCTGTTCTCCAGTTAACATTTTTTGGGGGATTCCCCACCCCTAACCAGGCACTCTCTACAGAAATGCTCACTACATCATGGTCCCTCTCCAGTCCCCTCCTTGTACAGGATAGGAAGTGTCTCTCTAGCCCACTTTCCCCCACAAGCCCTCGTCATCCCCTGCCTGGTCACAGCAAGTCTCCTAACTGGTCCTCCGTCCAGCACAGGCCCCAGCGCCATCTCTGAAGTTCAGCATGCAGTCCCTGTCCACTGCCACAGAGCAAAACCTGTTTCATGGGCTTCCTCTGCCCTCTTCCTCTCCCTCCATGCATTCATTCTGCCTGATCTGTGGTATCGGAGCAGTCTGTCCCTCCAGCAGGTGACCTGTTCTCCTGACCTCTCTGGAGCTGGGCAGGGTGATGGTGGGGACCACAGAACCACCTGCCTCCACCCAAATGTACTGCACACTTGTGCCTGGGCCCTTGCACATGCAGGTCCTCCTGCCCATGATCCCTTTCTCCATTTCTTCCCCTACGCCCGGTCCCCTCGCTTCTCCATGCCACATGGCTCCACGACAGCCCATGAGGCTGGGACACACCACACAGTGAAGCACCCTTTGTTCCATTTGTTCCAAGCCACGAGCACTTTGGTTCTTGGTTGCTTTCAGCACCCATCTCAGGGCTGGCTCTTGACAGGAGCCTGACTGCAATGTGCAGAGCGATTGAAATGGGGAAAAGAAGGGCCAGGCAAGGGGAGTCTGAAACGGTACCGTCGGGGGCTGGGTTATAGGAAACCACCAAAGATTTGGAGGCCAAGTAATGATGTTCTAAGGTGGTTAAGGGAGATGACCTCAGGAGAAGAGTGGGCACAGTGGATCTGCCGAAGATGGTGGGGCCGCCCCTCCCCACCACCACCCTGCCCAGCTCCAGAGAAAAGCAGAGGGCACGAGAACAGTGGTCACCTGCAGGAGGGTCGGACTGCTCTGATGGGACAGAAGGGCTGCCCTCTGCTGGCCCTGTAGCAATGACCCACTGAGAGTGTCCACTCTGATACTACAGATCAGAGCCAAGCCACTGGCAGGAGTGGGGGTAGAGGGAAATCATCCATTCAGCTGGAAAAGTGGGAGAACCTGGGGGATCCCCATATTCAGACACTGCCCCCAGAGAGGCGTATGAGCAGTCCCAGCTCTGCTGTTCCAGGAAAGTCCTGAGGGAACCCAGTTCCCACACCGTGCCTGGCATCCTTAGCAATGAGAGATGCACCCGGCTGCCTCCGACAGCAGGTTTAGTATTTCTGAAGGTTGCACATGCCTCTGCTCAGACCATAGGACAAGGGTGGGAGAGAGAAACCCAAACTTCAGCACCCTCCTCAAGTCCGCACACCTAGCAGGCCCTTTCACCCCACAGCCACTTTGGACCTGAGGCTCTCTCTCGTCCACCAACTCCCTCCTTCTCTCCCCAGGCCTGCCCTGGCATTCCCTGCCCACTCTGCTCTTGGACTCACCTCTGGCACCGTTAGGGTGACTTCAGCTGTTAGTTACAAATCTCAGCCCACCATGTTTCAAATCATAGACAGCATGAGGTGCTCATGTAACCAGGAGGAGTCGGGCAGGAGGGCTTCCCCGGGCTTAAGATCTGCAGATTCCCAATCCGTTTTCCAGCGTTTCCCCTGGCAGTGTACAGAAAGCCCCACACCCACGTGTTACACGGAACAACTCAAAAAAAAAGAAGGAAAAAAACCCTCCCTGTATTTGAGCATTGCACAGATTTGCTCACTAATGTTAGCTAGGGCGGGAGCCCTGTGTCCATTTTTTTTTAAAGTATCTATCTTTCTTCCCTTTCATTTTTGTCAGACTCTCAGAAGAATCTATGACCCAAAAGAGGTGATGACCCATTGTCTGGCAAAAAAGAGAATTAATTCATGATGATTGCCCTTAATTCCTAATGTTGAGCAAATGTTCAAAGTCAACTTACAGCTTTCAAGAATTCGAATGCAGCAGAGGATTCAGTCTTTTTATTTTTTTTTTCAAATACATTTTATTTCAAGGAAAAAAATGAAAAGGAAACCGGGTGTGGTGACTCACGCCTGTAATCCCAACACTCAGGAGGCTGAGGTAGGAGAATCGTTGCGAGTTCGAGACCAACCTAGACTACAAAGTGAGCTCAAGGCCAGCCTGAACTACATAGGAAGACAAAAAAGAAAGAAAGAAAGAAAGAAAGAAAGAAAGAAAGAAAGAAAGAAAGAAAGAAAGAAAGAAAGAAGAAGAAGAGGAAGAAAAAAAACTAAAACAAAATTTCAAAGCACATCAATCAGGGGACAAAAATGGTACACACATTGCGGATTGTCATCCCCAAATCATTGATCCAGAGCACAAGACATCTGCACTCAATTGCACATGGGATTTGTTCTGACACCCACAGCCCCTCCAGGGAATAAAGAAATTCTCAGAGCAGGGCCCAGCAGCAAGGTAAACACAGAAAACTTAGAACCAAACTTCTCATCTAGCTTTGGAGAGGCCTAAAGGGAAAGATTAAAGCTAAAAACCAAGCTCACTTACTATTTTTGCAACTTACTATACATAATTATTCTAAACAACTTATTCTTAGGACACTTGTATGGATAGTGTCTTAAATTATCTTTCTGGTTATGCTTCTGAAGTCCTAAATTAAAAGAGCTCCACGCACAGTGCAGATTAGAACCCCAGAGGGAGGCTACTGTGAACCTGTTAGGGCATCTAAAGAGATCAACGATACGAAGGGTTAACGAGGATAGGAAACAACCAGAACTCTCATACACAGATGGTAAGAACATGAACTGAAACACGCACTTTGGAAAATAGTCCTCTGGTTTCTTTAAAAGTTACGCATACACCTAACCTACGATCCAGCCATAATTCCCTTGAAGGTGTTTACCAAAGAAATGGCAGCATATATCCCTGTAATAACCTGTACACAAATGTCCTAGCAGCTTTAACTAGAGTAGCTCAAAAACTATAATAGCTCAAAACTAGAAATAATCCAAACATCTTTCAAGAGGTGAAAAAATGAACCAAGTATAGTGTGTTCATGCAAACAGAATACTATTCTGCAATGAAAAGGAATGAATTGTTGATATATACCTCATTTTAAATGCAAAAATTATAAAAGGAAATTTCATTAAAAAATAATAGGATAATAACAATAAATAATACATGCTGTTATCTTTAAAGTAGTTGCTCAGGGTACAGAATGCAGGCATTAAAATTTCTGCAATTGATATTAGCACAAACCTTCCTTTTTAATGAACTAAAAGATATTAATACTATAACTGACCTGATTTTTTTCCTTTTTCCCTGCTGTCTTTTCCCCTTTCACCCACCCTAGTTCCTTTTTTCTTTTGAACAATTTTTCCCCATTGCACAATATCTATTGTGCATTTTATACTATATTTACTCTTTCAGTTTCTCATGCCAGGGAGACAATATGATGCTTACACATGCAGATCTGATTTATTTCAATTATGAGGATAGTCTCAAGTTGCATCCATTTACCTATAAAACCCTCAAGTTTATCCTTCTTTATGGCTGAGTATACTGTATAAAAATACCACAATCTTTTTTATTCATTCGTTGGTTGACAGGCAAATGGATTGTTTGCAAGACTTACTATTACAAATTGTGTTACTATGAACATGAGTGCACATAAATTGCTGTAGTATGATGTTTTTAATTCTTTACCAAGAAGGAGAACAGCTGGGTGGAATGGGACCTCTCATCCTAGATTTTTGAGGAACTCCACACTGATTTCCACAGTGGTTGCACCAGTCTACACTCCTACCAACAGTGAAGAGGGGTCCTTTTCCCCCACAGCCCCTCTAGCATTTGTTAGTGGCTGATTTCTTGATGACCGCCATTCTTTCTGGGGTGAGATGGAATCTCAGTGTTGTTTTAATTTTCATCTCTTGAATGATCAGAGATATTGAACATTTTTTCACGTATTTATCTGCCATTTGTATCTCTTTATCTGAGAAGTGTGTATTCATTTCAGATGCCCATTTTTGGATCGGGTCTTTAAATATAGATTCTTTCTGTGTTCTAGATAAAAATCCTTCATCTGAGGGACAGTTGGCTAAAACTGTTTCCCATTCTGTGAATTGTCTTTTCTCTCTGTTGGTGATTTCTTTCACTGTGCAAAAGTTCTTTAATAAGATGAGATTCCAATTGTTGATTCTTTGAAGTACTTCCCATGCAGACTGTTTTGTTCCTAAACTCTCTGCCTACTCCTATGTCTTCAACATTTCTGCCTACTTTATCTTCCAGTAGATTTAGTGTTTCTGTTTTAATATTGACATCTTTGATCCATTTTGACTTTAGTTTAGTGCATGGTAATAGACATGGCTCTAGTTTTAGTCTTCAGCATATAGAGAGCCAGTGTTTCTAGCACCATTTATTAAAGTGGCTGTCTTTCTTCCAGTGAATGTGTTCGATATCTCTGTTAAACACATTGCTTGAGAGTGTTTGTAGTTGTGTTTGCATCTTCTAATCTCTTCCACTGGTCCTCAGGTCTGGTTGGTCTGTTTGTTGCTAGTACCGTGCTGATTTTAACACAATAGCTTTGTAATATAATTTCAAGTCAGAGATTGTGATGTCTCATGTCTTTCCTTTGTTGCCCAGAATTTTTTTTTTTTGCTATTTTAGGTTTCTTCTGGTTCCAAATTAATTTTAGGAATGTTTTCTCTAGTTCTGTAAGGTATGTTAATGATATTTTGAAAGGAATTGCATTAAATCTGTATAACAGTTTTGGGAATATGGCCATTTTCACTATGTTCTTCCTATCCAGGAGCAAGGGATATCATTCTATTTTCTAATATCCTTTTTGATCTCCTTTTCAGAGTGCTATAATTTTCAATATATAGACCTCTTACTTCCATTGTTAGATTGATTCCCAAGTGTTTCATTTTTTGGATGCTATTGTGAATGGTGTGGTTTCCCTAATTTCTCTCTCAGTGAGTTTGTTACTTGAGTACAGGAAGGTTATTGATTTTTGAGTGTTGACTTTGTATCCAGTTATGCTACTGAATTTGGTTATTAAATCCAGAAGTCTTTTGGTAGAGTGTTTAGGGTCTTCTATGTAGAATATCATGTTGTCTATGAACAATGATAATTTTACTTCTTCCTCTCCTATCCTTATTCACTTTATTTCTCTCTCTTGTCTAATTGCTCTGGCTAATGTTTCCAAAACTACATTGCATAGGAGTGGTGATAGTGGATATACTTATCTTCTTCCTGGTTTTAGAGTGAAAGCTTTCAGTTTTTTCCATTTAATATGATATTGGTTGTTGATTTGCCATAGATGGCTTTTATTGGATGGAGATAAAGACCATCTATTCTGATTTTCTGTAGGATTTTTGCCATGAGTGGGTGTTAGACTTTGTCAAAAGCTTTTTCTGCATCTCTGAGATTATCATGTGATTTTTGTCTTTGGCCCTGTTGACATGTATATTATATTTATTGATTTGTGTATTTTGAAGCATCCCTGCATTCCTGGAATGAATTCCACTTCATCATAGTGTATATTCTTCTCAGTGATTTACTATACACTGTTTGCTAGAATCTTAGTGTGGATTTTTGCATCTATGTTCATTAGGGGACTGGCCTGAGGTTCTCTTCTTTGGTTGGGTCCTTCTCTGGTTTTGGTATCAGGGTAATACTTGCCTCCAGGAATGAGTTAGGGACTGTTTCTTCCCTTTCATTAAAGAGTTTGAGGAGTATTGGAATTAAATCCTCTCTAAATTTCTAGTAAAATTCAGCAGTGAATCCATTAGGACTTGACAATATCTTAAGTGAATCTCAAAATAATGTTGAGTGACATGAGTCATACAGAAAAAAGTACATACTATGTTATTTCATTTATAAAAATTTTAGAAAATACAAGACTTCCTTATAGTGACAGGAAGCAGATATATACACATGACTGCCAAAGGACAAGTGAAGGAGAAGCACAAAGAAACTTTGGGGCATGTTAGATGCCTTCACTATCTTCCTAGCATGATGATGTGTGCACATACGTCAAAGCTGACCAAATTGTACATTTTAAATATGAAGTTTATTGTACATGCATTATACCTCAATAAAGTCATTGTGAAAAAAATTTCCAGTATGCCTCTCCCACCCTTTCCTCTTAGGACTTTGATTTGAGAAATTTTTTTAAAGTCCCTTCTTCTGCTCTGTGTCCCTTTCAGTTACACTCACTCTGTGACAATTAAGCTGGGCAATGACACCATTCTTTCACAGCAGTGAGGTGGAAGCGTCAGGATCCATGGAAGCGGTTAAAACACCCTGGTTTCTCCTCATGGTGCCAAGCTAGGAGCCCTGCTGCTTCGGCCACGTGTCAAAGGGTCCTTCCCGTGGCTCTCCCAGACAAAGGGTCCAACGTCTCTGCCAGTCTCGGCAGCTGTGGGTCCAGAACTGGGGTTGCTCCACAGATGACAGCGTAAACAGAGACGTCTTTCCTGGGGAACCCAGACAAGCTCTGAGTAGCAGCCAGCACCTGTCCCAAGACAAAAGCTGTGACTACACCTATTTTATTAGTACACGTTTGCAATGCATTATGATACTTTTGTTGTGATATATTTACTAGGTAAATATATACATGACATATACAAATGGCAAATATAAATAATATTTACAAGCATTTCCAATACAACTATATATATATATATATATATATGTATATGCCATATATATGACAAGTATAAATAATAATAGCATGTTGATTCCACCCACTTCTTAAAAAATATAAAACTCCTTTCATGTGGGTGCCAGGAGGCCTCAAGTCAAGGGAGGGATTTTCTAGGGGGCGACCAGAACCCCTCAAGCCCTCCCTCCCACTACCATGATGAAATGCTGCTTGCCGCCTGCCTCAGCCTGCCCTCATCTCCACCTGGCTTTGGTCTCCCCTTCCATCGAGGTCGCTCTCAGGAGTCTCAGGGCTGACTGTCCCCTCTCTAGTCTCATCCTCTCTGTCCTCTGCCCTTCTGAGTGGTCTGGTAGCTCTCCAATTACTTCTCTGCATTGACTGATTCCCCGTTGTATTTAGGTCTGGGTATTTCCCTAAATTATATCCCTGCCTGGCATTCCTCTCCGTGTACAGACACTCTGAATATCCTGTACTCTCCCATGCTTTATGTTTTCATTTATTATTCAAATGACTCCCAAATCTATGTATCTAACCCTAAACTCTCTCTAAGCTTGAGATTCACAGATGGTTGACTATAAATAAGGTAAGTCCCTAACAAATGAAAAGAAAAGACTATTTTAAATCTGCAACTCAAAATCATGAGGTCTGTTAGTGGAGCAGAAACCATGGAGACTTTCTAAAGGCAGGATGCTGATAGCGTTAGCCTGAAGAAAGAAGCAAGGCCCACATGTGGGCAAGAGAGGACCATGCCCAAAGAAGGAAAGGCCAAGAGCTCCAAAGATCCAGGGCAGCCCAAAGGCGGAACACCAAGAGGAGCTGCCCTGTGTGATCTCCCCCAAACAATCCCTGCCCGCATCTATGTGAAGAGCCAGCAGAGGCCCCTGGATGTACCCTTCGGGCAGCCCAGTGTGCGGGCTTGGCTCAGAGAAAGGCAGTGCCCCGTGTGTTACCAGGTTCTGGGTGGTGTAGGCTCTTTATGGCAATTCTCTCCAGGTTTTTGTTGTCTTAGAAAAAGAACTGGACAAGGCACTTGAAAAAGGTAGCAAGATTTTACATTTATTAAAGGTAGAGAAAGAAATATGTCCTGCAGAATGAGTGCGGGCCACTGAGAAAGCTCACAGCAGCCACCAGCCTCAGGGCAGGCATCTTTCTCATATCCTCCTGTTTTCCAGGCTGATGTATGCCATCCTATCAAAAACCTGCTTGGTTTGGAGCCAGAAGACTTGAATATAGCATTTTCCTATTGGTCCCACCTGCAGGCTTTGGAGCTGGGGTTTTTTTTGGTTTGTCTGTTTGGAGGTTAGTTGTTTTCGTTTTGTTTTGTGTTGTTTTTCACACATGTAGCCTGGAGCTCCATGATTGATGGGTCACTGCCCATTTGCCCCACTGGCTGGCCCCACGCTAATCTCCTTCCTCTTGTGCATACCAGAAACTGGAGGATGCACCCCCACAAGACCAGCTCTGTCATACCCTGCTCTCAGCTGTACACCCGCCTTCCCCCACTCTCCCTCCCAGCCCACTCCGTCCTCAAGGGAGCAGCATAAACAGCTATTAGAATCTCTAATCTGACCTCTCAGTTACAACCATGAACACAGTCAACAATTGTAAGTATTTGAGGAAAGCCAACACCGTGAAACAATAAGAAAGGACGTAAGGAGGCGAAATGTAATGACACCAAGACTGACATATAATCCAAATCCCCAGAGGAAGAAGGGAGGGCTTTGTGTTTGAGAAACAATAGGCAAGTTACGAGAGAAAAAGAATCCATCACAGATCATGAACATTAAAAAAACCATAGTAGTCAAAATAAAAAATTAGCCATACAAAATGTAAATACAAAAGATAATACTAATAATTGAAAGAGTTTTCAGTATGATAAAAGAGAGAATATAAAGTAAAAAAATAGCCTTTGTTCCAAGGACTTGGTGAGGAATCCATGACCATAGACGGCCTGGGTCCCTCTAATTGGAATGTGGGGCATGGGACCTACATATAACCTCTGACTGGGGGTGGCGCTTAGGGCGGGCATTGCTGAGGCGTGAGGAGCTGATCGGAGATTTCTTCACATGCAGACAGGCAGGGGAGCTGCAGTTAAGGCTGAGGAAGAAGCAGGAAGTGGTAGGCGGTCTCGCTTTGGCCTTCCACCACCTTAGACCATCACCATAACAGTACAGTAATGTATACTAGGGCAAGAACCTTTCAACAATTACATTTTATAGAATTACTGAACTAAGAAAGGAAAAGGATGTTATAGTCAAAGGACTCAAAGGAAGAGCCGCTAACCATGGCTGTGGATGTGATTCGGTGGCAGACTGCCTGCCTAGCATGCAAGGACTACAGGTTCACTCCCCAGAATCACACAAGACCAAACAAGCAAAGCAAAACTGCCAAACAAGAGCACTATACCAGGCAAAACTACCCTTCACAAATGGTGAAGGCATACACCTGTAATCCCATGCTCAGGAGGCTGAGGCAGGAAGACGGTGAGTCTGAGACCAGCCTAGGCTACATAAGGAGTTCAAGGCCAGTTTGTCTCACAAAAGGCAAAAAACAAAAAATAAATACATTAAAAAAGGAGAGACAGAGACTTTCTCAAGTAACAGAAGCTGAGGAAATTCATTGCAATTATACCTACCAAACATAGGCCAGGTGTGTTAGCACACAACTGTGATTCTAGCACTTGGAAGGCTGAGGCTGGAAGATGACTATGAGTTTAAGGTCAGCTTGGGCCACATAGCGAGTTCAAAGCCAGTCTGAAGAATATAACAAGACCTGTGTCTAAAAAAAAAATGATACAAGGAGCTCTTTAATTTGAAAGAATGATCAACACAATAGCATGAGAAAGTATAAAGCTCATTAATAAAAGAAAGTTTATAGACAGGTGTAAATACCATACTACTATTAATGATGATGGTTGAATCACTTTAAATCCCAGTATAAAAGAAGACTTCCAAAGGAGGTTAGATGATAAAGGTATTAAAAGTCAGTGTAGGAACCAGGGGTGTAGCTCAGTGATTAAGAATGCCCTGAATATGCACAAGGCCCTGAATTCAATCGCCAGTACCACCAAAAAAAAAAAAAGAAAGAAAGAAAGAAAGAATAATAAGTGTAACCAAAAAATATGTTAGAAGGTATAGTCTTAAGTACACAAGTAAATTGTGAGGGGCTGGGGATTTAGCTCAGCAGCATAAGCGCCTGCCTTACAAATGTGCGGTTGTGAGTTCAATCCCTGGTACCAATAAAAACGAAAAAAAAAAAGACAAAAAAAAAAAAAAAAAGTAAATTGTGATAATACTTCATAAACTGTGGTAGGGGAAAAGTTAGTGTAGAGTTTTATAGCAATTGGCCTAAAATTATCATCAGTTTAACAGATACTATTACAACTATAAGATATTTTGTGTAAGCCCACGGGGAAAAAAACAAAAAAAAATTCAGCAATTACACAAAAGAAAGGAATCAAAACCTATCAACATAGAACATCAACACATACAAGCAGAGTCTGTAAAAGAGGAAAAGATAGACAAAATAATTACAAGGCTAACAGAAAACAATCATGAAAATGGCAACTGTAATTATCAACAATCACTTTAAATGTGAAAAGATTAAATTCCTCAATTAAAAGACACAAGATGACTGAATGTATTTTAAAAACTCAACTATACGCTGTCTACAAGAAACTCAGCTCAGATGTAAGGACATACAAGGTCTGAAAGTGAAAGGAGAGAAGAGACTCCATAAAAATAGGAACCGAAAGACTGCTGGTGACTGTTCTTGTTTCAGACTTTACATCAAACACTGTCATGGGATACATAAGGCTACCTTATAATAATAAAAGGGTTGATCCACCAGAAAGATATAAAAAGTATAAATATATATGCATCCACCATCAGAGGACCTAAATACATAAAGTAAATGTTTACAGAACTAAAGGAAGAAATATTCATAAGCAGTGATGTGACAACAGTAGGAGACTTTAATACTGATGATGAAGAGAACATTCAGACACAAAATCAATAAAGAAACAAAGACTTAAACAAAACTATCAGTGACCAAGGAGAACTAACAGACATACAGCATTTCCACCCATAGGAAGGATGAGCATTTTTCTCAAACCCAAAAATCTTTCTACAGGATAGATCATGTTAGATCACTAAACCAGTCTTAAAAAATTTAAAATTGAAATCACACCAAGTATCTTTTCTGACCACAATGGAATGAAACAAGAAATCAACAACAGAAGGAAAACTAGAAAATGTACAAATATGTAGAAGTTAAACACCAGCTCTTGAGCAAACAGCTCCAAGAAGAAATCAGAAAAGAAACTAGAAAATGGCTTAAGACAAACAAAAATGAAAATGTAACATACGAACATTTATGAAACACAGCAAAGGCGATCCTAAGGGGGAATTCATACTGATAAATGCTGATGTTAAGAAAACAAGATATCAAGGAAGTAGCCTAACTTTACACTTCAAAGGACTAGGAAAAAGAACAAATTAAATCCAAAGTTAGTAGAAAGGAAAAACAAAGATGAGAGCAGAAATAAACACAACAGAAAAACAATGGAAAAACCAACAAAATTAAATAGCTGATTTTTGAAAAGATAAAATTAACCTTTTAGCTAGATTAACTCAGAAAAAAGACTCTAATAATTAAAATCAGAAAAGAAAGAAGAAACATTACAACTGATGTCAGAGAAGCAAAGATATTTTGAGTTATTATAAATATTTTACATCAACAAACTGGATAATTTCAAAGAAACAGATAAATTTCTAGAAACAACCTACCAAGATTAAATCATGAATAAACAAAGTCTGAACAACTCTGTAACTAGTATGGAGAGGAGTAAG